AATTTAGCAGTGAAAGACTAGAGGAAAGGCAGCTAGTCATCACAACCCACCGTCAACACTTGGGCTACTCTTTTATTAACGAATAGTAGAATTGGCCGTTACATTATAACGCCCCCAAGACTGAAAGGGCGAGCATGTTTGGTGGAACGGGGATTCGAACCCGCGACTCTCAGATTGCGAGTCGAGCGCACTAACCACCTGGCAGTCGTTAATAAAATTATACTAGAAATTGACAAACAGCGATGTTTGCTTTGGTAATCTGATTGGGGGCGTCCTATAATGTGTACGCCAAAATCACAAATTGAAATGAAAAGAGATCTTGTCTACTTTTGTTTGATACTGTTTACAATGTCCTGTTTTGGTTGCTTTATTATTTGAACACCGAAGTTTGATGAACCATATTTTGGTCTTACAGCTGTATGGACTAAAAGTAACCCAAAGATGTCGGCAGAATTTTAATAAGAATAACAAATGAAAGTTAGAACACTCAGTATGGAGCTTTTAACACAATCTTCTATAAAAATATCTTGTGTTGGAGCATCAGACACAACCTTCTATAAAAATAACCTGCGTTGGAGCATTTGATACAACCTTCTATAAAAATATCTTTTGTTGGAGCATCAGACACAACCTTCTATAAAAATAACCTGCGTTGGAGCATTTGATACAACCTTCTATAAAAATAACTTGTGTTGGAGCATCTGACATAACCTTTTATAAAAATATCTTGTGTTGGAACATCTAACACAACCTTCTATAAAAATAACTTGTGTTGGAGCATCTGACATAACCTTTTATAAAAATATCTTGTGTTGGAGCATCTGACACAACCTTTTATAAAAAATATCTTCGAAATAAGTTGAAGTATTATTCGTGGTAGTCTGTCTTCTTGTGAAATTGAAAGTAATAAGTACTTAATATTTACTTCCAATCAAAGCAAACTATCTGCTCAAAGCGAAACTAAAAATCATCCTGGTAGTAATTATAGCTAATTAAATATACTTTTCTTACGTTATTACTTATAAGTATTAAAATTCCTTGTTTCATCGCTGTTAACGACATTTTCGACCGTAATCCTAAGAATATGGAATGAGATTCGACCAGTTTAGAAGATTTAGGCTAGAGCTAAATCCCTATATCAAGACAAAAATCCAAAACAATCGCTAAATGAAAGTACAATAATAAAACTTAACTTAAAAATAATAACATAAGATCTAGTAAACATTCTAACCAATACTGTTAATGAAATTAACAATTGTAATAATGAAGGTTATCTTACTTACAGAACACAACACACAGACACTGGCTATTGGCTTCAAATACTGTTGTTGATTTAATATTCTTTGAACTTAAGGTAATCTGTGTTTAAAATGAAAATAGGACTATCTTATAACTGAAAAATGATTTTTAAATCACATTATATACATATATATATATATAGCGTATATATACTTGTCATGAAGCGGCATAAAAACTGATGTTAGGGGAAGACAAAAGTAGTATTTTAATTATACATTCTTAATTTGTACTCCTCTAAAAATACATTTGTTTTTCTCTGTAAGCATTTCTGATATAAAATTAGAGACGTTTAAGTTTGTGCAGAGAAATGAAATGACTTTCATTTTATAAAGACTTGAAAGAGAAAACCGTATCAGTGAAACAGTACACAGAGAATTTGATTCCAAGTTAATCTCCTGTCATTTTCACCGCCATTCATCTTTACAGCCACCCTTTCCCCAATACGTCTTTCGTATAGGTCAATTTTTCTCTTTCGTGAGTGTAGGTATTCGTGTCACTAGGCAACGATGCACGATCGTTTGAACTCGTAAAAAAATATATATAATTTCAACTGCTTATAGAATTCAGCTAGTGTTAGAGACAATATTAGAAAACAAAGAAAATAACTTCAAAGTTCAGTACTTTATACGATTAGAAGTGAATTTTAATAATCTAAGTATTGTGATTGATCAAATATACCTTTCTATGTTAGGTATTGGCTTTGTTATACGAGGAATAGTCAAGTAGAAACATTCGCTGGACAACAAAATCGATTTTGCCAAAACGAAATTAAGATATTTTTGTTGTTGTTGTCTAGACTTCAAGTTTCTAAAAGAATCACTAGGTTGGATTTTAACCGTCATTTGTGAGTGAGTCATTATGTTGGACTTTAGTAGACACTTATGATTTAGTCAATACTTATGAATAAACTATTGTATGTTTGGATATCAGATACTCTTGTGAACATACATTATGTTTCAGCTTCATGTCTGCACATTCAAGCGAATCATTATCTTCAAATTCTAGTTCATGATTTTAAGTGTACTGTTGCGTTTTAGTCTGCAATTCTAAGTGAGTCATGGACTGTTGAAGCCATACTTAATGTAAATTTCAGAACAATAATGTCTTGGCATTTACTTGATCTGCACTAATCTTTCATGTGTTATACCATCAGTATTCTATTAGTCTGAACAATCTTTCATATGTTATACCATCAGTATTATATTGGTCTGAACAATCTTTCATGTGTTATACCATCAGTATTCTATTAGTCTGAACAATCTTTCATGTGTTATACCATCAGTATTCTATTAGTCTGAACAATCTTTCATATGTTATACCATCAGTATTATATTGGTCTGAATAATCTTTCATATGGTATACCATCAGTATTCTGTTGGTTTGAACAATATTTCATATGGTATACCATCAGTATTATATTGGTCTGAATAATCTTTCATATGGTATACCATCAGTATTCTATTGGTCTGAATAATCTTTCATATGGTATACCATTAGTATTCTATTGGTCTGAATAATCTTTCATATGGTATACCATCAGTATTCTGTTGGTCTGAATAATCTTTCATATGGTATACCATCAGTATTATATTGGTCTGAATAATCTTTCATATGGTATACCATCAGTATTCTGTTGGTCTGAACAATCTTTCATATGGTATACCATCAGTATTATATTGGTCTGAACAATCTTTCATGTGTTATACCATCAGTATTCTATTAGTCTGAACAATCTTTCATATGATTATTCACCATCCAGATGTTTTCTTTTTTTGTATAGACAGATTTTCACAACGGGAAATTGAATCAATGATCTGCATATTCGCGTTCCGAAACCGAAAAAAATATTTCTTATAACAAATATGATTTAGTAATTCGGACATTCACGGGAGTTAAGTAAGGGGGAATGATCTGCATATTCGCGTTCCGAAACCGAAAAAACATTTCTTATAACAAACATGATTTAGTAATTCGGACATTCACGGGAATTAAGTAAGGGGGTCAGTCAAAAACAGGAAACCAGGTGGTATTTGCTTGACCTCAAAACACCTGCACTAACTAGTGGGTATTGGTTCAGACAGTTTTACATATAAA